TTTTTCTTTTTTTATCCTCACCTGAGGACATTTTTGCATTTATCTTCAGATAGAGCATGAGGAAGAGAGGAGAAAGAGAGAGAGAGAGAGAGAGAGAAACATCAATGTGAGAGAGACACATCGACTGGCCGCCACCACACAACCCCAACCGGGGCCGGGAACAAACCACAACTGAGGTACATGCCCTTAACGGGAACCAAACCTGAGTCTCTCTGGTCTGCGGGCCAACACTCGAACTGCTGAGCCAAACCGGCCAGGGCTAAGCCATGAACTTCTGATAGCAAGGACTCTGTACCCTCCACAGCCTGGCAGAGATAGTGTGTCCAAGATATTAATATGGTGGGTTGATGGATCATTAAAAGTTATCAAATAGCCCTGGCTGGTTTGGCTCGGCGGTTAGAGCGTCGGCCTGCGGTCCTGAGAGACCCGGGTTCAGTTCCCGCTAAGGGCGCGTACCTCAGTTGCGGTTTGTCCCTGGTCCTGGTCGGTTGTGCAGGTGGCAGCCACTCGATGTGTTCCTTTCACATCGATGTTTTTCTCTCTCTCTCTCTGTTCCTCTCTCTCCTCCCACTCTACCTGAACAAAAAATGGAAAAATGTCCTCGGGTGAGGATAAAAAAAAAAAAAAAGTTATCAAATAGCCCTGGCCAGTTTGGCTCAGTGGTTAGAGCGCCAGCCTGCAGTCCAGAGAGACCCAGGTTTGGTTCCCGCTAAGGGCACGTACCTCGGTTGCAGTTTGTCCCCGGCCCTGGTTGGGTCGTGCGGGTGGCAACCACTCGATGTGTCCCTTCACATCGATGTTTCTCTCTTTCTCTCTCCCTCCCGCTCTATCTGAACAAAATATGGAAAAGTGTCCTCAGGTGAGCATTAAAAAAAAAAGTTATCAAATAAAGAGAAGGAAAGAAAATTCGTCAGGTGGTGAATGAGAAAGAACTCCGGCATTAAATCTCACACGCCAGTGGCTCTTGGATTTTGAGTAATGAGGACAGGCTGCAGGGTGAGCTGAGAACGAAGAGGGAAAACCTGAGGAAGGTGAGTTCAGGCCTCATTCTAGGGTCTGTTGGCAACTATCAATATAAATGCAGCCAGAGGAAAACCCAGGGCAGTGGAGATCGTCAGTCTGGCCACCCTACTGAATGACTCCTTTTATGTTTCAAGTTTGAGGTAAGCTGCTTGCTACGCACACTTTGGGAGCGTCTAACTAGGCCCAGCTGAAGCAGAGAGAAATAAGCAAGTCTCAGTAGCAAGTCCAAAGTGTTAAACTACCGACAAAAATAGCAGTCACTTCCCTTCGACAATTTGTGTGATCAGGTCTGAAAAGCCTCTGTTTCTCAGTTCTAACCTAAAAAGGGTGTAAAATCCTGCCACACTTACAGTTCCTTGGAGCAATGGGATTGCCTGGGAAATCATCTCTTCTTGTGTGCAAATGTTCTTATGGTTCCCGCACCTTCTGCAGCATCTCTGCCCTGGGAAGACTCCCTGGTGTGGCCGTGACTGTCCTGAGAAGGACCTGGATTACACCAGCAGTGCAGAGGGGTGAGGACACTAAGGTTTGGGAGTTAGGTCCTGGTTCAAAATTTTGCCTCTGTATTTATTACATTATATGATTGAGACCAAGCTACTTACCTTCTCTGAGCCTTTCTAATTCCAAATATGGGTCCAATAAAATTGTCCCCACAGGGCTATCTTGTGGAATACCATACCCAGAACATCATCTGGCCTGTAGTGGATGCCCAATAAATGTAGGTCCTTCCCCTCCCCCACGCCAATGCAATGGGTTCCGTTAATAAGATTCCACATCTTACCAAACAACTCCAATGATTAGCAATATAAAACACGAGGGAGGAAAATACTGGAAAGGAGCAAACTGCTCACACTGCCCCAGGCTCTTGACTTCCTTCAGTTCCAAGCCCAGGGCCAATGGTCCCCGCCGCTGGGCTGAGCAACCTAGTAGCTAGAGCAGACGATTGTGGTCAGACTTGGGTCCAAATCCAGCACTGCCACTTACGAGCAGCAGGACTGCAGACGTATGATGCAACCTCAGTTCCATCATTTCAAAACAAAAAAATCAGTGTGTGCTGAGTGTGTGATGAGCGAATTATGTAAAATGCTTAATTAGCGCTGTGCCTAGCACAGCCAACACATAATAAATGCTACCTATCACATCCCCATCCATCATCTAACCAGCAGAATGTTAGTGGGTGACAGGTGGAGAAAAATCAGATGGTATAACTCTAAAGGTAAAAGGAACCAAAAAGTAAAAATCTCGGGATGGGATGAAACGCATAGGTTGGAGAGTAAAACATTAGCTAGCGTGAAATGCATTCTCCTGGGAGGGTGGCCCGGATGAGAAGTAGACAGCATGTCAGTAAGTAAACCAGAGCTTCCGCCACTCTAACATCAGCCAGCGCCACCAGGAAGAAATTTGTGAAGAACATACGTTTGTTTTGTGCACCAGACACTGCCCTCTCCTTAATCTTTTCCTCCTCCTTCCTGGGGATCTGTTTCGGGTACTTCATTCTGCAGGGTCCCCCTTTTCTTTGTTGCAGCCCAGCCTCTCCTCTGGCTTCTCGCCCTCTAGCCAACTTCTCCGGTGGTTTTGAAATGCCAGGCCACGCACCAAGACCGGACTGCCTGCATAAACACTTCACGAAGAGCATACTAAAAATACACCTTCTCAGGTTCCAACCCTCAGGGTCCAATCCAGGTGGTCAGATGGGGCCTGGTTACCCATATATTTTCCTAGAAGTTCCCCAGTAACTCTTATGTGCAGTCAGGTTTGGGAACTATGTTTCTAGACTTTTCCTATACCAAAATCAAAATGTACATCTCCTATGGCCCAGTCATTCGGACCTTTCTTTCCCCTGACTGGTCTAAAAAAAGTCATTTGTATTTGAGTTCATGAATCATCAACTGGCAACAACTTTATTTTTCCCTCCAAGATTTTATACACAAGACGACGTTATGCCATGAACCAAAGCATGAAAAATTTCCAGAGAAGGAAAAGAATATGTAGAATCCTCTCAGTCTGTTCTTTATCAATAGGGCTGAACCTAGAGAATAGTGTGGATTCCAGCCCTCCCATCCTCTCCCCAACTTTCCAGGTAGAGAGGTCAAGGTAGCCAAGGACATTCAGTGGATGAAAGTTTGGAGACAAAGCGACACCACAGATGTGCAGAATAAATAGTCATAACCACCACCACCGTGTACTGAACACCAAAGGCCAAGCCCACCCTGAGCACTTTACATGCATTATATCATTTAACATTCCCATCTACAAGTCTGTGTTACTATTATCATTCCCAGCTCACAAAATGTAAAACACTGAGATGCACAGAAACTAACTTGCCTAGACTCACACAGTTAGCAAGTGGTGAGGATGGGAGAAGAGGATCTCTCAGAGGGACCAAAGAATTGGTGAAGTCATGAAACCTTAGAGAGACATATCCCCTGTCTCTTTCCTTTTTCTCCAGAGAGAAGAATATTGGCAGGGAGAAGCGGGGTAAAAATTTTGGAAGGAGGATGCAAAGAGTTGCACAGCAAGGAAACAGCAGTGTCTCCAGTTCTCAGTTGGGAATTACTAGGGCTCTGAGGCCTCTGCTGGCCTGTGGCATAGGGGGACATGCAAAGCCCTTCCCCTGCTCTCCCACTGGGGCAGCCTATGGGTAGTGGGCGGGGGGGAGCAGAGTGCCTTCAGTTCTCGAGAGTGAAGGAGATGATGAGGTCTCGAAGGTGGAAATGGAGATGGCAGCTTGAGGCTTTATTCAACCTGCCAAGCCCAGGACTGCAGGGTAAAAAGCCCGTGGTTTCTATGGAAACTGTCCATGCACATATATTATATCTGGACAATTCTTCAGAAATCCAGAAAGGGCCTTAAATAGATGACATCAAAACGGACCAAGACTCACTTCAACTTCCCTGAAGGCTGGTGCTAGTTTCTGTTCTTTGCCCTTGCAGCTCCTCTCCTAGGAGAGACCACAGAGCTAGAGTGGCGAGTACCTTACGTATCTCCTCATCAGAAACGCAGTCCGGAGCTGACTGGCGTTGGATTATCGGTGCTTCTGTAGGGAGGCTGTCCCCAGCATGCTTGTTCTTGACTCTGTGCCCAGGGGCGATGTCCTCTGGCTGAACAGCCCTTTTCTCCACAATAGCATCATTAGCAAGAACAAATGATTCCTAGGCGGTGCTTTCGATGCAAAATATTTCTCTGTAATAGGACTCAGATCACTATCCATAAGGATTTTTAGTGGGTTCTGAAGAGATCAAAACATCCCCCTTGACCACCATTATCCAGCTGTCCAGCTGCAAATGATTCATCAGAGACCAACGGTCTCCTTTGTCCAGCGGCGGTATTCCTGACTCCAGAGACGGACATGGGGGACACCATCTCCTTCACAGCCCAACCCACCCCCTCCTGAGAAACCCCTCCGACCTCCCAAGAAGTCCTGCCATCCTCTAACAAGCTGGGAGGCTTGTTCCTCCACAGAGAATGAATGGTATCAAAGATTCAAAGAACAGCCTCTTAAAAAGCCACCATTTGGAAAAGATTTAAGCAAAGCAGTGCCTGGTGAAGTGAAATAGAATTAGCCGCTTCAGTAGCACAGGCTTCTCAGATTCATTGTAAAGTAGACCGGCTTATCCGCTGCCAAGTGGAACGAACTCAACAACAATGTATCATAGTTCACTGCAATCCCAGCTCCACGGAATTTCAGATGGTGCCCAGAATACACCGAGGTGTGCTTAGTATTCCCCGATCTGTAATCAACCTTTTGTACGCGTGTTCCTAGTCACAGGATACTGTTTCATCTTAATGAACTGTTTTTCTTAGCATATTACCGTTGGTCATTTCAGCATGCCCAATGGCCCATTTTGGTAAGTTAAATTACAATTAGGGTCCCTTGGTTTTTGTTTCCCAGCAAGGCTTAGAGGGGCTTGGCTTCTCCCCCTTCCCACGGCTCAATTTCAAGGACAAATCACAAAAGGTCAAAGGCAAAGACGTACCTGTTGCAGTCGACGTGGAGGAGGAGGTGAGAGGCACTCACAGACAGTGCGACCTTGTGCCACCGGCCGTCTGCCATGCGGTACGGCAGTGCCTCTGTCCTGGCCTTCCCGTTATGTATGTAGTGATACCGAATCTCGTCCCTCAGACCACTGCTCTCCAGTTCAAAATAGCTGTATGTGAAGCAACAAAAACTGGTTTTACTTTCTTTCTGGACATCACAGGCATCCTCAGTCCTCACTGCTTACTAGCCCATCAGAATACACAATTGTGACACAGGACACTAAGACCTACAAACCCAAAGCCAGTTGCACCATGAACCCAACCCACCTACTGTCTGCGTGCGGGCCCTGGTAGTGACGTCTTGAGCCTCTGAAAGGAGCATCAGTCGATCCGCTGGGAGGTGAGTGGCCACAAACTGATCAGCAAAGCACTGTGCGGTGGCTCCGAAATACTTAAAAGCAATTCAGTACCCCCTTTCTACTGTCTCAAAAAGGCCATTCCCACGGAACGGATTTATTGTTATTTTTTATTACTGTCCTTTTTACTTTTTCTAGAATTAAAGAAAAATAGGAGTCATGTTGGATATCGGGGTTGTTAGAGACTGTCAGAGTGAGGAGAGCAAAGAGATTGGTTAGGCTTTCTTTTTGTTTTTACTTCCCTCTGTACAGAAAGCTGTTAGGTGATACCTATTCTTGGATAAGTAGGGGAGGAAACGATCAAGCTACTCACACACAGGCCAGAATTTCAAATCACTGTGGGGTAAAGCATGCAGTTGCATTTTTTCGTTGCCCGGATTGTTGTCATGTTTTCAGATCTATGAACAACTCAGCTCCAACACTGCGGTCGGAACCTCAGTCATAAAATGCAGCTGACGACTCCGGGACTCCCCTCGGGCGCACAGCGGGGCTGATACTCTCACGGGTGGCAGACCATCCCCTCTCCTGAAATGTGTCGTCGTCACTGGAACTTACCCATATGCTATCTGATTGATATCACCCACCAAAACCTACAAGACTGATATTGTTATCCCTTCTTAAGTATTAAAAAACTGAGATTCTGGAATTCAACAGCATACCCAAGTGAGGATTTAAACTCGGGTCTCAGTTGGATAGCCTATGACCTTCCTACCCGTTGGTCGCCCACCTGAGAGGCAGGATGACAAAGTAGAAAAGGTGCTCTCAGCTGGCTCTCTCCCAGCAACTCATTCCTATAAGCAACTCAAACGCGACCCATCTAGACAGGTGACCGGGTTCACCCTCCAGACCTGGAAGGACCTACCTATGCCTTCTCCTCTCATCGGCTGAGTTGGCCTGACCCCGCCAGCCAGATCGTATTTAATCTAAAATACGAGATGCATCTTCGATGAGAACCGAAATGAATATATCATGAAACTCAGCCTCCATTATTCATGACCCCCGAATCTCGTGTCAGAGGGAAGCAGAGCATATGTCTTGCTCTGCTTTCACAGGGATCTTCCCAAGAGGCAGTGCAAGGGGAAGCAGAGTCAAGACCAGCCTCGGACCCACCACGCTTGCACGAGGCACGGAACCAGGCCCAAGGTCATAAACTGACGAAGTTACTTACACCACTGCAGTGGGTTCCTGGGTCCACCCACATACTCATTAATTAGAGTAAATAAAACACATTTTATAAGACTGCAAAAGAAGAAGTCCCTTTACATAGAAGACATTCATTTTAAGAGAATCCTCCAAATTTCTCCTAAGCAGCGAGAACACTGGCAGAATCAAACAATCAGAGACTATCAAAGGTCAGGACGACCTTAGAGATGATCTGGTCATTCGTTAATTTATTCAAGATGTTAAGGACTGAAAATGGATTTAAATATAGATCCTGTCCTCGAGATGCTTTGAGACTAATGGAAAAGGAAATAAAAGATTTGCCTCTCCCATCAAAAGTAGAACCTGACCTCAGAGAAAGGAAGGGGAGGCATTTCATGAGTGGCTGCCGTGGCCTGCAGTGGACCAAGTGCTCTCATCAACATCATCTCATTGCATTCCTTCCAGGGAGACATCATTACCCCTGTAAGATAGATGCAGTCATGTACGATCAGAGATGTCCAATACTTTCCCCGAGACAAACAGCCCCTGCACAGAAAATCAGCATGATTTTAAACTTGAGACCTTAACAAGACTAACATACAATGAGAAACTTCTCAATGACTTTATTTTGACCAATAAGCTACTGCTGGGGGAATAAATGTGACCTTAAAAGGACCTCAATAAATAACAATGAAAATAAGTAGCAATGAGAAATGCTCAGATCACCTGACAGAATCATAAAAACAAAAATAAGAGGCAGATACATCTCACCAGATTTAATCATTATTCCTGGGGTTATGGCCTCATTGAGCACGTCTCAATGTATTACAAACAGATCTTTTTAAAATTTTTATTGAATTTATTGGGGTGACATTGGTTAAATAAAATTACACACATTTCAGGTGTGCAATTCTATAACACATTCATCTGTATATTGTATTGTGTGTTCACCACCCAAAGTCAAGTCTCTTCCGTCACCATATATAATAACCCTTTTCCCTCTTCTACCTCCCGCCACCCTTTATTATTATTTTTTATGCAGTTGTACCTGGGCCTGTTATCTTAGTTTCCTTTTTGATACTTCATTATTGGTGCATAAAAATGCAACTGAGTTCTGGATATTTATTTTGTATCCTGCTACTTTACTGAATTCATTGATCAGTTTTAGTAGTTTTTCGGTGGAACTTTTAGTGTTCTCTGTATTCAGTATCATGTCATCTGCACAAATAGATCATTTAAAATTCACTTTACGAAGCATTGGAGCAAGAGGTCACCTTGAGGGAATGGCAATCAGCTATGAGAAAAGAAATCTTCCCTATTGTTAGGCAAATGGATACTTGTGTCTTTGAGTCAAGTTCTGACAGCATCAGATACAAATTCAGAGAGTGCTGTGTGTCAAACAACTTGGATGAAACTCAAGATGTGTTTGTTTGTTTTTTAAATATGTACTTTTTTACCATGGGTTTACTGCAGGACACAGGTGTGAAAACCACCAGTAAATCCAGCCAAAATGGGAAAGGCAAAGACTCATCAACATCGTCATCAATGCACATGTAGATTCAGGCAAGTCTGTCCCTACTGGCCATCTGATCTACACAGGTGGTGGTAATGACAAAGAACCATCGCAAAATCTAAGGAGGAGGCTGCTGAGGGGGAAGGGCCCCTTCACCTACGCCTGGGACTGGGATGCACTGAAAGCTGAACGAGAGCCTGGCTTTACCACTGATACCCCCTGTGGAAACCCGAGACCAGCAAGTATTGTGACCATCACTGGCATCCCAGGACTCAGAGACTATCAAAAGCACGGTAACAGGCACATCTCAGCCTGACTGTGCTGTCCCGATTGTTGTACTGATGTTGGCAAATCTGAAGCAGATTCTCCAATAATGGGCAGACCCGTGAGCTTGCCCTGCTGACTGACACACTGGGTGTCAAACAACCTACTGTCGGTGTTAAAAAAATGGATCCCAGGGCCAACCTGCAGCTGGAGAGATATGAGGAATTGTTAAAGAAGTCAGCACCGGGGGAGGAGGGTGTCAATGGGGAAAAAAGGAGAAACATCTGTAACAAAAATAAAATAATAAAAAGAAAGAAAGAAAGAAAGAAAGAAAGAAAGAAAGAAAGAAAGAAAGAAAGAAAGAAAGAAATAAAGAAAGAGTTCACTGAAACCAAAAAAAAAAAAAAAGAAGTAGTCAGCACCGCCCTGGTCAGTTTGGCTCAGTGGTTAGAGCGTCGGCCCATGGACCATTGAATCCTAGGTTCGGTTCCCGCTGGGGGCATGTGCCTCAGTTGCGGTTTGGCCCCGGCCCCGGTTGGGGTCGTGTGGGTGGCGACCACTCAATGTGTCTCTCCCGCTCTATCTGAAGATGAATGCAAAAATGTCCTCGGGTGAGGATAAAAAAAAAAGAAGTCAGCACCTACATTAAGAAAAGTGGCTGCAACCTTGACACAGTAGCATCTGTGCCCATTTCTGGTCGGAGTGGTGACAACGTGCTAGAGCCACGTGCTAGCATGCCTTGGTTCAAGGGATGGAAAGTCACCGTAAAGACGGCAATGCCAGTGGGACCACACTGCTTGCAGCTCCAGGTTGCGTCCTACCACTAACTTGTCCAACCAACAACCCTACCTCTGCCCCTCTGGGATGTCCACAGAACTGGTGGCATTGGGACCATCCCTGTGGCTGAGTGGGGACTGGTGTTCTCAAACCCAGCATGGTGGTCACCTGTGCTCCGATGTCACAACTGAAGTCAAGTCTGTTGAGATGCACCATGAAGCTTTGAGTGGAGCTCTTCCTGGGGACAACGTGGGCTTCGATGTCAAGAACGTGTCTGTCAAAGACATGAGCCCGAGTCCTAAGGGCAACTTGGAGGAGGTGGCCACTTGGCCTCATGGCTTTGGGCCGTAGTCTAGAGGGAAGACTCAGGATTTATAGCAGAGTTTTGTTATTCAAAGTATGGTCCAGCTGAGCATCGTCATCCCCTGTGGAAATTCAGATTCCGGGGCTCCCAGCAGACCTACTTGAATCAGAACCTGCATTTTAATGAGACCCAGATGATTCACATGCACAGTAGAGTTTCAGAGGCACTGCAGTGAGTACACCAGGTGCTGCTTTACCTCCTGGCAGCTGGTCACAGTGGGGGGCGGGGGACTGGAGGTGACTGTAAGCAAGTGTCTAGTGAGTTCTCTGACCTGACCAGTCCTCTCTCCTCAGGCCTCAAACATGCTGAGGTCTTCTCGGGACGGGGGAGGGGTCATCTGGATCAGTGATAAAATCGCCAGCCAGACTGTGTCGAGCAGCGTTCTCCCCTTAGCCTTGGACCTCAGCCATGCGTGATGTTCCAGTGAACTGCCTGGGTCCCAGAAAAGCCTGTTCATGCTGCGAATATTTGAAAAAAGCGACGGCATTTGTTACTTGGTTCTCTTTTTCAGACCAAGCTCCCCAGCATCTTCCTTTGCATTTCTGCCCCCCACCTCGACTGCGAGGTCACCCTGGACAAAGGCTCTGCCTTACTCCTCCTTTCAGAGGCTTCCCCACGTTGGTTGCCGTTCTCTAGGTAAAACGGATCGATGTCCCCTCGATACAGCATCCAAGAACAAAGACCCTTTCCCTG